TTAAAGGTGTATGTTTGGAGCACGACGCTGAACGGGTGCGAAACATGGACAGTGGGCGCGGCGGAAAATAAAAGGTTAGAAGAGTTCGAAATGTGGTGTTACAGGCAAATAATGAGGATACTCGTGGCTGGAGAAGGTTAGAAAGAAAGAGGAAAACAGAGGACTCTGTGGAAGTCAATAAGGAATTGGCGAGATAGGTTTCTAGGACACCTTCTCAGGCATGAAGAGTGGAGGAGCGTGTCTAACCATTAGTCTTAGGACTGACAACGTTATGATGATGATGAATTATTGGTTGGCTGACGTCAACGCACAGTCCGAACTTCTTTGTCCAGAGAATTTTTCAGAGATGTTCTTTATATACGTATAAAACGTAGGTGAGTATTACGAAATAATTTTTTACCACCCCAACCTAGAATTTTGATAGAATCGAACTCTATGTCAGTAAAGTCTTGGACAACGATTGGTAAATATCTAATACATACAATGAAATTAGTCAATAGGCCTACCTATGTGGGGAACGAAGGAAATAACAGGGAATTTTATACCATTAGGGAGGGTTTCATCCCTTTAACTCATTTCTGACTCGCCTCTCATTACATGGTACTCATCAGTAGGGGTATGATAGCGGCTATGCGAGTACTCACCCCATCTCCCGCCGAAAAACATAATATAAAGTCTACGATTTTCGCAAATCAAAATAATCATACACATTATTGTGCCCATAATAAAAGACAAACCAGATAAATAAAAATTTAATTTCAACGGTACGGTTTATAATACAACATCAGAATTTTCCAGTTTCATGATTATTACTATTTATAGCTTTCTCGCTTTTTTGCCGATTAAGTATCCTTTGAATTTCATCAAATGATTTTCCCTTTGTTTCCGGGAGTATGAAGAGTGCAAAGAGAAATCCTAGAAAGCAGCAAATACTGAAGAACCACAAGCAAGTATACTCTCCCAAAATTTCGTTCAAGGGCTGAAACGCAAATTGAACACCAAAACCCAACGTTTGTGACAGCAACGTAACTGTGGACACAGCGACAGCCTTTATATTGATTGGATATAATTCTGAGGCAATCATGAAGTTCAGGGAGAGAATACCAATCGCAACGAACACTTCAAAGAGCATCAAACTGGTGACTGGCAACCAGGAAATTATGTCAACGTTATAAGAAGTAACGTCTTGAAGATAAAAATATAATCCTAAACAGAACATGCTTACAGAACATAACAAACAGGAAACAATGAGCAAGGGTCTTCTACCAAAACGATCAACAACTTGTCCGGAAGCCAAAGCTGAAAATATATTCGTATTAATTTCTGTTATTGATTGTTAAGTTTATACACAAAAATATTTACCACCGATAAAATTGACAATTCCAAAAATAACACTAGCATTTCTTGAAGACAAACTACTTCCTGTTGCATTAATAATAGTTTGCATATACGATTTAATTACATCATTACCACAAAAATGTAATATCAACTTTATACCTACAAGAAATAGTGGAAGTCTAAATCAATGACTTTATCAAAAGAATATATACTTACAAATGTGTATAATCAACGATTTTCTATAAATCTTTTTGGTAAGAAGTTCACAAATAGTTCCTTTATTTTTCATATCCTTTTCTACTGAAGAACCGATTTCTTTAAGCTCTTTTTCAAAAAAGGCTTCATCAGATGCATCATTAGCCAGTTTCTTAATCACCTTTTTGGCTTCATCTTTGTTTCCTTTTTTAATTAAATGATACGGAGATTCCGGTATGAAGAAAGTACATACTACGGGAATAATCGAGGCACATGCTGAAATAATTGCGAATGTTTTAAAGGACACATAAGGCCCTATAACGAATCCTATATCCGTTAAAAGAATTCTCAGAATTATCATAAGAAAATTCAGTCGACCCCTGTTATCATTGTGTGATATCTCACCAAGGTAAATGGCACCACACTAAAAAGAAGTACGTTACGTAAGTGAATATTGAAATCTGACAGAGAGGAGGATAATGAATTACAAAAATGTATTTGGGTTTGTTCCGTTCATTTCAATTTAAGAATGTTGTTATGCAGTTTCTCGAAATTATTGGTGTCAGAGACACAGTATAAAGATTCTATACAGTAGGCTCACTTCCTGGTCACACCCATACGTCCTTCACCTGCTGACGCTTCACTCGCTAAGCTGACGTGGTGATGCGTCGACAAGAGAGGAATGTATGGGCGTGGCTGGAGAGTGAACCTACTGTATCGATCTTTATACTGCAACAAAGCCATTGAACCGTATTCGTATATGGCTGTTCAGGGGCACATAAAGTTAATTTATGAGGACCTGCAAAAGTGTTTTTCTAGCAGATCTAGAGATCTACTGCAGAGACGGTCAAACTCCACTCCTAATGCTCCTAGGTGCTTCTGCAAGAGCAAATGAGAGAGGTTTGCAAATCTATATTCGTCCTGTTTCCTCTTTGACCCAAAAGAGATAGGTATAGTGTCACAGGTATAGTGTCGAACGATACCTGTCTCTCTTTCTCTCTAGAACCATAACCATAACCTTCCGGTTATGCTCAGTTACGAGGAAGAGAGACAGGTATCGCTCGTTTCTATATATCTCTCTGTTGCATACACTGTAGAAGTCAAGGTTCGGCCGGCTCTGACCTACTGTATCTTTATCCTGTGTCAAAGATACCTCTAGAATTGTGTTCAGATGATGCATGTGTTTGGGAGGTGTTTGACCTCGTACATGAGAACAGGATTGCTTAAAAAGGAGCGGTCTCTACTGAAAGGAAATAGCCCATTGTACCTCTGTTGTCGTTGTCCGAAATTTCTCCAATATACATTGACGAAATCTGAAAATTCAACAAGTTAATATAACTAGTATCAAAGGAAAATGGGTTCTTTTGGCTGTCGAGGAAAACCTGGAAGACCGGGTATATTTTCTAAGTAGAAAAGAAAATAATCTCATTCAATAGAAAATTTGAACTGAGGCCTAATACAACGGGAACTTGAGAATCTACGTGTGATAATAAATGACATATGGAAAGGGAACGCAAAATTACCAGAAGAATGGAGGACGGGCATTGTGGCACCAATATACAAAAAAGGCATAAAGACATAAAAAATTGGCTCGAGACAGAAATGGAAGAGAAGAATCTTATGGATGATACACAAATAGGCTACAGAAAAGGGAGAGGGACACTGGATGCAATATACATAGTAAAGACAGACAATGAGGAAGAAATAAAGAAAGAAAAAGGAGAACCAATTTTTTGCTGATATCAAGGGAGCCTTTGACAGGATAAACAGAAAGAAAATATGGAGTATAATAAAAGAAAAAGGAATAATAATAACAATAAAAGGGACACACACACATATGAATTTTGGATACTATGCTACAGTAATAACTATTATGGTAAAAGAAGGTATAAAAACTAATTTAGATTAGCAATTTATCTATACAAGATATTACAGTAACTTACATGCCTACAAATGACTGCTCCCATTCCAGCAACAGTCCTTCCAAAATATAAAGTAATCGGACCAGAAGCAAAGAATATAAAAATCCAGGAGATTAAATTTAACACCGCTCCAATAATAAATAATATTTTCCTACCAAAAATATCAGGTGCATGTATTGTAAGAGCGCTGCCCAGAAAGTAACCAAATATAAAAAGACTCAATAATAACACTATTGATATACAAAAATATAGTGACGATGTTAAAATTTGCGAAATTAATGTTATTAAATATGATTAATTGTCGTTTCAGCCATCTTCANTTATTATGCGTTTATCTTTTCGCAATTGTTTTATTGATGTCTGTCTTAAATTTTGTATATATCACTTATCAAACTTCTGTATTTTTTTTGTGATTCGAGTTATTAAAAAACCAAAAAAAATGAAGATTAAAATAGGTTGAGTTTTCGGTTGCGTTGCCGTGTTCGCAAGTCACAATTGGCAAACTCTGCAATAAACTATATGTAAGAATGGACATATCTTCTTTCATGTTTCCGCATGGGGCTACAGCTGTAGTCTTTTGTTGCGTTTTGAACACGTCCTTGTTAAGTTATGAAATGCTTCATGAATAGTACAAAGTGGAAAGAGATAACCGAATAAAGAGATGTAGACGAACATAATTTGAGCACGTTGCCAGCATCGGACTTTAAAGAAAATTCAACATTCTCAGGAATTTGGGAAAGCAAAGATGTTTGTTTAAAGATATAATTCCAACCAGGCAGTTATAAAGTCGACTCTGATCTTTAAAGTATCTAAGCAACCTCTAACTGCTGCCCGCTGCACCGTTTAAGATTCTTACAGATAATTTATTGCGAACTATGCCAATTTTAATCGTTTTAAGTATAGAGCAAAGGTGCGCAAAGCCAAAGACCCAAGTTTGATTCCAGGCTAGGATGTGACAGTACCAGCAATTTTTTTTAAGTACATCATTTTGCTGACTTGTGTAATTTTTATTTATTAGTATACTACTTCAGGCATGAAGGTCTAGTTAGAGACATATTAGAGGCAGAAACAGGAGTTAGGAGGGGTAGAGGTAGACCTAGATTAGATTACTCTTCGCAAATAGTTAAGGATGTGGGCTGTTCTAGTTTTAAGGAAATGCGAAATTTAGCTCAGGATAGGAAAGACTGGTTGGACACGTACCTCCAGTCCAAGCAGTCTTAGGACTGATGACCTTATGATGATGATGATGAGTATACTACTTCACTTGCATCGACTCAACGAGGGAATTTTCGAATTTTAATAAGGGTGAACGCGCAATATTATGACGAGTGAGTTACGCCAAAATTGTTACAATGACCACTTAAAAAAGTCGATTTAATAAAAAGCCAATAAATTGATTGCATTTGTAGTTTAATTATATCGTAGAAATTGCATAAATATGATGTTTTTATCTAATACCTATGTATAATAAATAATAACAAAAACGATAATGAACCAAAGACAACTACAGCTAATGTGTGTACTCAAATAAGACAATGATTAATTAATAGATAGTATGAGTAAATAGAATCTATGTTTTTCAGACAAATTGTTTTTAGGTTGATATTAGATCATAGGTAACTATCTCATGTGAGGATTATATTATTTATAATTTACACGTGTATATCTGAATTCCTCAATTTAAATGAAACTTTATTAATCATAATAACATTTTTGAACGTAATCAGCAGTTAAGTGTGGAAATTCGAGCAAAAGATTACATTGTTGGTTAGATAAGTAATTAAAAAATTATCTTAAATGCTTTCACAAAGATAATAAAAAGTGTAGTAGAAATTATCTTATCCAAATTTAAAGGTTTAACTGTTTACTATAGTAAATATTGGTTATAATGTACTGTACGTTATATCAGAAGTTCGTGAATGATTTCATTTTTAAATTCTTTAATAATTGTTAGTAAAAATGCTAACATACAATGAAAGCAAAACGAAAATAGCACAATATTTCATTTCATCGTTTAACAATGCCCAAGTTCAAATATCCTTTCGCTGTGTATAGCAAAAGATAATTTTTGGTTTGTGTATCTTTTAAAAAAATAATTTCTGCGAGGATTTTTGATATAAGTGTGTACGTCATAAACAAGTTTTACTTTCGATCAATATTTAGTGATAAATAATTAATTTTCGAAAAACGTGAACTATACCTAAAGTAATTTATATTACAACCAATTAAAACTTATAAATATAATTAGAACCACTGTGATTAAAAAATGAAATAAAAAATTAGATAATGACTTTTTGTATTGTTTCTTTTATCATCTTGTTGAAAAGTAAGATACAGACGCATTACATTTCACAGTATACAATGAAATCAAAAAGGTACTTACCAAAAAAAAAGCATGATAATGCCTATAACCTATTTTTGGAGAACTATATAATTTGATTTTTGTTTTGTAACCTAAGCTAAGTGCATTTCGGAATGTATCTTTTTATTTTATCTACTGTAGTTATTCCAAGTGTTGTACAAAAGGCGTTTCGTATAGAAATTAAGAAAGAATATTCACATTAATATTTCATATTAACCACTAGGAAATTTAAAGTGTCTTTAATAAATAGATTGGACTATTGCTTTAGTATAGCTACTTATACAGACGTATCCGACAGTTGGATGTCCTTTAACAAAGTGTCTTTAATAAATAGATAAAAAGTAATTACTGATTTGTATGAAAATAAATAAAAGTAAAACAAAAATTCTGGTATGTAAGGGAATCAAAAGTAGGGAAAGAGCGAATATAAAAATAAGAGACGGAAAATAGAAGAAGTGGTTGATTTAAGGTACCTAGGAAGTCAGACAAGTCAGGAAGGAAGGAGTAGTGAGGATATAAAGCAAAGGATAGAGCAAGGTCAAGTCGCCTTCGGCAATAAGAAGTCACTTCTATGCTCGCGAAGGGTTAATTTAGAAAATCGAATAAGATTATTAAAGGTGTATGTTTGGAGCACGCCTCTGTACGGGTGCGAAACATGGACGGTAGGCGCGACAAAATGGAAGAGGTTAGAAGCGTTCGAAATGTGGTGTTACAGGCAAATAATGAGGATACTCGTGGCTGGAGAAGGTTAGAAAGAAAGAGGAAAACAGAGGACTCTGTGGAAGTCAATAAGGAATTGGCGAGATAGGTTTCTAGGACACCTTCTCAGGCATGAAGAGTGGAGGAGCGTGTCTAACCATTAGTCTTAGGACTGACAACGTTATGATGATGATGAATTATTGGTTGGCTGACGTCAACGCACAGTCCGAACTTCTTTGTCCAGAGAATTTTTCAGAGATGTTCTTTATATACGTATAAAACGTAGGTGAGTATTACGAAATAATTTTTTACCACCCCAACCTAGAATTTTGATAGAATCGAACTCTATGTCAGTAAAGTCTTGGACAACGATTGGTAAATATCTAATACATACAATGAAATTAGTCAATAGGCCTACCTATGTGGGGAACGAAGGAAATAACAGGGATTTTTATACCATTAGGGAGGGTTTCATCCCTTTAACTCATTTCTGACTCGCCTCTCATTACATGGTACTCATCAGTAGGGGTATGATAGCGGCTATGCGAGTACTCACCCCATCTCCCGCCGAAAAACATAATATAAAGTCTACGATTTTCGCAAATCAAAATAATCATACACATTATTGTGCCCATAATAAAAGACAAACCAGATAAATAAAAATTTAATTTCAACGGTACGGTTTATAATACAACATCAGAATTTTCCAGTTTCATGATTATTACTATTTATAGCTTTCTCGCTTTTTTGCCGATTAAGTATCCTTTGAATTTCATCAAATGATTTTCCCTTTGTTTCCGGGAGTATGAAGAGTGCAAAGAGAAATCCTAGAAAGCAGCAAATACTGAAGAACCACAAGCAAGTATACTCTCCCAAAATTTCGTTCAAGGGCTGAAACGCAAATTGAACACCAAAACCCAACGTTTGTGACAGCAACGTAACTGTGGACACAGCGACAGCCTTTATATTGATTGGATATAATTCTGAGGCAATCATGAAGTTCAGGGAGAGAATACCAATCGCAACGAACACTTCAAAGAGCATCAAACTGGTGACTGGCAACCAGGAAATTATGTCAACGTTATAAGAAGTAACGTCTTGAAGATAAAAATATAATCCTAAACAGAACATGCTTACAGAACATAACAAACAGGAAACAATGAGCAAGGGTCTTCTACCAAAACGATCAACAACTTGTCCGGAAGCCAAAGCTGAAAATATATTCGTATTAATTTCTGTTA